TTACGTATATTATATATATAATAACTTTAATCGCGTCTTTACTACAGTCCTTCTATAACCTATAATAGGTTCTAAGCTCTCTAAAATTCTACTTAAGCCTAAGAATTATCGCGAGTTTAAGTCTTACCTTTAGCAAGTGTTACTACAGGCTGCTATAAATAATAAGTATAAGGCCTTAACTAAAAATAATACCTGGCGCCCCGCCACAGAGGAGGAGAAGGTCAAGTACAAGATCATCCCCACTATGTGGGTGTGGGCGTATAAGGAGATGCTAAGGGTTATTACATTAAGGACAAGGCACGCATGGTAGCTCAAGGCAATCGCCAGGACAAGAGCGAGTGGCACACCCAGGTGTACACCTACGTCGTACGCATCTCCACTCTCCGTGTATCCTAGCCCTAATGGTCGCCATAAACTAGGAGTATGAGCAAGTTGACATGATCACAGCGTACCTTAACTCCTACCTCCACGGCAATAACGTGGTCCTTGTCAAGTTGCCTCCTGGGTGCCAGCGAGCTGGAGAAGTCGTCTGACTCTTTTGAGGCATGTACGGACTCCGCTAGTCTGTTCTACTGTGGTACAATAACTTAAAGAAGTCTTTACAAGAGCTAGGTTTTGCCCCAATTAAGGCAGACCAGTGTGTGTTTATCCGCCACACCGACGGCGCCATTATTATTGTCTATGTAGACAACCTTATTCTTATCACCAAAGACAAGGCTAGTATAACAGACTTAAAGGAGAAGTTGTTCAACCGCTATAAAGCCCGCAACTTAGGCCTAGTAGGTTTCTGCTTAGGCATCCGCATCGTCCACGATCGCGAGAATTGGTCGCTATTGCTTACTATAGACAGCTACTTCGACCAAGTCGCAGAAAACTATAACCTTAGCAACGCGGACCCTATCTATGCACCCCTCCCCGTTAGTGCGCTTAAGCTAGAGAAGAGCGAGGAGTATGCAATAAATAATATTATTGCTAAGTACTAATTTCTTGTTGCATGCCTACTATACGTAGCTTAAATTACCCGCCCTAATATTACCTAGTCTATTAGCTATCTTTCTCGCTTCGCGTCTAACCCTATAATAAAATAATATTTGCTACTAAAGCGTCTTATTAATTGTTATAAGGCCACCGCCACGCTCGGCATTAGCTATAAATATAATAACAGAATCTATAACGCTAATAACCTAGATCTTATAGTATACTCTAACGCTGCTTATGGCGATAACATTAATAAGAAGTCGTTAGCTAGCTACGTTATCCACCTACTTAGAGGCGCAGTCTTGTATAAGGCCTATCGCTAGCAGGTAGTAGCCTGTTTCTCCACTAAAGCCAAGTTTGTCGCCCTTATATACGCCACTAAGGAAGCAGCTTAGGTGCGCTAACTACTATAATAGGTTAACTATAATAGTGTTAACGTTAAGCCTATAATCCTACATAGTGATAACTAACTAGCTATTTACCTAGTACGTAATAATAGCTATTATAAGCGTACAAAGCACATTAACATGGCCTATAAATACGTTAGGGAAGAGTACTGCCGTAGAAATATAAATATATAGCACGTTCCTGGCATTAACATGCTAGCAGACAGTCTTACTAAGCTACTTAATAAGCTAAAGCACGCCTACTTTATTAACCTTATTAACTTATAAGATATCCCGCGTGCTAGACGTTAGTAAGTTTACTTTTACAGGCGCAGATCTAGGGGGAGTGTCAGCCCGTACCTTTACTACGTCCTGTTCTAAGAGTCTCCGCCCCTTCCCTATAGAGGGTTAGCGTACGCTCGCTCCACCGCGTAGATAAACACCACTATTGGTAGACTAATTAATCACGATACTGCTCACTTGCTGCCCTTGAGAGGAAGATTAAAAGTCGCTATTACACAGTCATGTTAGCTAACAAACAGTAAGACGGCTCTAACGAAATTAGGTTACTCTAAGTCAGGAACCAGAACCCTATCAGCCTTATTCAATGCTTAGCGTCACATTTAGAAGCATTATAAGTCCTCTGTCTATCTTTTTAGTTACAGATAAGGTATCCCTCATCTTCCTCTCAGCCTACCGTCAGGTTGGAAATCTTAGACCAATTGCCCGCAGGGCTCATGAAAGTCCATTTTCATTTGCGGGTTAAGAATCTTGTTCCAGAAAGTTCTGAACACTACTCAACCGTCCAAGCATTGAGAGCTTGAAAGGGTAATCCTCGAGTAAGGAATTTGAACCAGAACCCAGATACCATTTCGATCAAGAACTCTTCACTCATTTAAGCGAATATAAGGACTATTTCTTTTCAAAGTACTAGTTTTCCGAGCAACTTATAATACAAACACATCAAACAGCGGGCCCTGTACCGACCCACACTCTGTAGGACCGAAAAGGCCCCCTCCTCGCATCTATATTCCCATACTGCCTCCTAGGACTCAACTCCAACTGATTTGTGCAAAAATACAACCAGCCATCCCAAATCGCTGCACTGTCTGCATGCTGTATCAGCGCATTCCGCACCAACGTCTTGACCACATAATTCTCCGCTGGCACCGGCTCCAGCGCATTTGAGCTCCCAGGTATCCTTCCATTCACTGTCTCAGAAACAGCAGCCTGCAGCGTATCTACATAGAAAATAGCATTATGCTCGCTCGCCATAATATACACCCTCCCTCTATCATCCGCCGTAAGCCCCGCCTGCTCCGTCCCACACTGTCCCGGATCCCGCACATACCCTTTCAACTCCTCGTCCGAAATCGTCTCATCAACAAGTGCGGCCTGCGAAACATAGTAAAACCGCCGCGACGCGAGAACGCCCCAGTACACGTTCCCGCTCGCTAGCGCAATCCCATCCGCGCCCGTTGAGATGAACGATTTACGCGTGCCGTTCCAAGAGTAGATTGGTTGACCGTTGTACACGCCCACAAACCCCTCGTCTGCGCGCGTGTACGTCGTATTCCACAGTCTCCTCCCCGCTGCGCCCGTCGCGAGATCAATGTACAGAAGCGACCCTGCGTCCGACTCATCGGTTATGAACGCGTATCCGCCAGCGCCGAGCGTGTTGTTTACCCGTACATCATTCGCGTTCATACCCGTATAGTACAGTTCCTGCGGGATAACGTAGGTCCTCAAAAGGTTTCCGGCGAGACTGAAGGACATGATCTTAGCGCCGAACTCGATAGCGGTTTTTGCGCCTGGCGGAATCCCGGAATCTACAATCCAGAGTTGGGACAGGCTGTCGAGGGCGACGTTTTGCACGTTGATGAAGCATGTGCTGGCGTTTTGGCCGGAGGTGCAGTTTTGGATGGAGGCAGAGGGCCAGGGGGTTTCAGTGGTGAAGGAGGTGCATTTTACGACGTTGTTTAGCGTGGGACCGGTATTTCGCGGGTAGGTCAGATAGAGGGAGAGGTTTGGGTCGATGGCGAGGCCGGTTGGTGGAGAGAGCGATTCGTGGACGGGCTCGAGCTGGGGTCCGAGGATGGTGAAGTCGGTGGGGCAGATGCCGAGAGTGGTGTTAGGATTCTGAGGGAGAGGTGTTGGACAGGTGGATGGAAACTGTGCGGTGGCCTTTGGCAGGCACGACAGGATAGCCGATAGAAGTGCGGTGAATTTTGGTTCCATGGCGACTGCTGAGTGTAGACCAAAAGATGGGTGCAATTCTTCGTTCCACGGGAAGACAAGACTGCGAAAATCAATGCTGGGTGTGTGTGGATAATGGCCGTATGATCACTGGGTCGCGATTTCCATTCACACTAAGGCTCTTATAAGTTACAGCGTTGGTCCCTCTTGTATGGGTCGACCCCGCAAATGCAGCACAGGTCGACGTCATCCACGACTCAAAGCAGAAGCGACTAACAACAGAATATATTGAAGACCATCAAGCCGTGGATTAAAATTTGAAAAGCCTGCTTTCGTGTGCAATACCCGAGGTACCTTCGGTACACTGCTCCGCGGGCATCCGTTGGCCAGGTCCTGCCTCCCGTGCTTCACTTGCTCTGCGCGCCGGTATCCTATTTCTCGTCAGCGCAACATCGAACTCACTTCCCGGTACGACCTACCAGGTACACCTGATAAAACTCCATCTTCACTTTCTCTCCCTCCTTGACCAAACGCGCACGCGCCGCCCAATCTACATCCGACTCATCGCCCGCTTTCAGCCTATAATGGACGGTCCCATGCAGCATGACCTCGTTTGAGTCGGGGCCAAATGGGAATATCTTAGTCGGGTTGTGCGCCCGGGCTGCGACTTTCTCCCAGAGGCCTTTACGAAGGGCGAAGATTTCTGTAGTGGGATGAGCGAGTTGGGCATGGTGAGAAAAAGGGTGAGGGCTAAGCGATGAGGAATGGTAGATACCTTCTGAGCCTTGCGCCTTCTTCGACGCCATTATCAGTGTTGCATCTTTGGTGAAGCAATCCACATATTCATCGTGCGCTTCGGGGCTGTCGGAGATGGCGTAAAAGTCCTCAAAGAACCTCTTGAATTTGGGGTCGAATGAGGTTGAGGGATACTCGGATGCGTACAGCTTCATAGTGGTTGGATTCGATGCAGGTTTGCGTCGTGATGCAGTTGTCGTCGTTGTTCTCGGAGCAATGACGAGGGAGCTCGCAAGTAGTTCTGGTAGCGAACCAGTCGGTGATTTTATAGGCAATTCGTTGTACGAATATTCCCTCGCGGTAAATACTCGGGTAAAGGATACAATAACGAGTTAGGCTATAGAAAAAGGCCAATCCGGCCTACCTTGATTACGCTTCATGATGCAGTGCAACCTATTGCCCCTAACAATGGTTGTCGTGGAAGATTCCAATTCGCGATGGGACACCAGAGGGTATGGTTCGGCCCCACTAGTTCGCAGCCGGCTCGGCTAAAAGCCACCGTTCTGCTAGCTTTTCTATCGAATATCAGCCCCACGCCCACCACTTGGATTTCCTGCCGGTCGGGGTCGCGGACGTCAACTTTTTGAATAAACAAAGCTGAATATATATTTCAAATTTGGCCAATTGCTTATCAAATCATCAACCGCCCGGCTAGCTCAATCGGTAGAGCGTGAGACTCTTAAGTATTCACGTTCTGGATAGCGCGCTTCACACCGCGATCTCAAGGTTGTGGGTTCGACCCCCACGTCGGGCTGAAATTTTCCTTTTGCACTGTTTTGCGTCGTTCCAAATGTCGCACCTCTTTACATATCTTTTTAGCCATTGTGACTATTTTTGTATTCACCTAGTATATTTTTCTGTGAACTTGACGTTGGTGCCTGAATGACTCAAGCTACCCTGCAATAAAGCTTTTGTTGCCCTCAACACTCCTGTGGACTTGAATTGGGTAACAAATATTAATCTTAGGTGGCCTTTCCCGCTTCCACCCTTTGCGTACCTATACATTGCTCTGATTGAATGACCGAGCTGCAACACACTGACTGTCTGTCGCAGCCTGAACTTCGTACGTATTTTGTGAACAATACATGCCAATTTTATAACTTCCGTCCAGACGCCCCCAAAATCTAACTTGCGAACCTTTCCGTCATGCTTCGGCATATCTCATGTGTGCTGCGCCTTCCACAGATGAGTCTTTAGCTTCAGCCGCAAATTCGATGCTTGTGAAAGCTCAGTGGCCAGATTGAAGCCAGGCAGAGACTTCTTCGGTCAACTTTTTGAATGGCAGGGAACAAGTCCGGCCGCCCGAACGACTCGGGACACCGTCCTGACATTGATCAGGGTGCCCGTCCCGGCTTACAGCCCACAAAAAAACTCCGCATTCTAGAGGTGTCTCCAAGATCTTCAACAGCAACAACATCCTTCATCGCCTTTAGGAGCAAAATCATCCCTTCTACGCGCTGCATAAACAGGGACTCTTCGATATAACGGATACCAAGAAGCAGGCGAATATTCCAGGGACCGCGGAAGGGCGTGAGTGAGACGTGCACAGTCTCCAACTGGGAATGGAGAAAATCGACCATCGCTTGCCCTACTATGGCGCTGACCTCGAGCAAGAACTGCACCTTGCGAAAATAAATACCCTGTTGATGGAGCACCCGAGCCACCAAGCCTGGCCGATCGATTTCCGCGCCGTGTTCAACGAGAACCGTTGTCACTCCGCGCCAGCGGTTGTCGATTGCAACGTAAAGTGGTGAGGATTCGTGGGATTCCGAGGGATCATACCGGACAAGCTCGCTACTAATGAGATAATGAATTATATTTGCATGACCCAAGTGGCAAGCCTTCAAGAAAATCGCGTTAAGAATGGGTCGAGTCCGTAGGTCACCAGGAATGAGACTAGCATAGTCTTGAGCATTTCAACGCAGCCAGTATTCCCAGCCTCTTTTAGAAACGTTGAGAGCCGCTTTCGCTTGCATTTCGGATCGGAGCGAAAGAGATCGAACAGGGCGGTAACAGTATCGAATTGCAGACAGGAAATGGCGACCCGAAGTATGGCGTCCAAATGGTCGTCAGTCATGACCACCTCGCGTCCTTTGTTCTTCTCCAGGCGGGCAGCGGACTTTCGCGCTTCCTCGAAAAGAAACTTCGGGATCTCGTGCTTTCCAGTGGCTGCGGTAGCTAGAAACGGCGAGCAGAAGAGTTTAGTACTGTCAATGTCGTATTCGTCCCTTAGGGCAACGCTTAGGAAGTGCTTCACAGCTTTGAGATTGCCGGCTGCTGCGGCTGCTGCAGCTACTGCAAGATTATCAGGGACGAACAGGCCGTCTAGACCTTCCAGTTCCTCCTCCTCCCAGTACAGGTAGACGACGTACTTCGCGTAAATATGTGGGCAGTAGTGGATCAGTAACGCAGTTACTAGCTTGAAGTTCAGACTAGTAAGCGCGAAAGAGAGATCATTGGTGTATTGTGGTCGCATATTTTTAATGTCCGCATTGTCGATGCCAAACTTCAACAGGCCGATTGCGAATCGGTTTATCAACAGCGGAAGGTGTGGCTGCGCCCCACGAAAGATATGAGCATGGCCTGCTAGGTGAGTGTAGATCTCGTCTTTGGCGTAGAGGAAACCGCGTAGATATGCATCTATGAATTGTGGACCCTCGCGGTGGCTCTGCGCCCAGGTACCAAGCTGGTTGATGGACGTCTTCGCGAGCAGCTCGTCATTGATGGTTCTAAGGAAGGTTTCTATATTGGTCAATGATATGTTACAAGATAAGAAGATCAATTCTCACTTACTACTCACTCGACGGGCAGCTAGGAGTTCTTTGAGTCGTCGTTCACGGGGTCCGTTACGTGGAAGAGTGAGAGAGTGGGCAATACGGAACTGAAGTATGCGAGTCCATATCTCAGCGGGGAGGAGGGGACAGGACGTCATAGCTGATGTACATAAAGGCTCGATTAGATTAGAGATGTTGAGTGAGGCCAGAATGGGCGGGCTGTGGTTGTTTAGCCTCCAGAAGCTCCGCTGGGTGGGGGCCTACTGAGGAAGCAGTGCTTTATATGTCGGGGGAAGGTTTATCGTATCTACTAAGCGAGATGCGAGATGAACGGACCAAGTGGAGGTAGTCTGTTTACTCAGACTGACTGTATTCAGGATACGTCATCGTGTTCGAGTCCAGGTCTCACTCAATCTACACGTATCCGCTCCTTCCCGAAACACAACCGAAAGCAGGACCACCGCGACCAAACATAGCCCTTAAGTCTCCTGCTACTGCATCGGGACGCTCCCAAGCTGCAAAATGACCACCAACTTGGTATTCACTCTCGAACACGACAGGGCCGAGCGTTTGGTTCCACAAACGCGGCAGCAGGACAGTATCGTTTGCGAAACGCGCCACTCCAAGGGGAACTTCCACATAAGCTTGAGAAGCGGGGAATGCACCCTTTGGTTTACGATTTTCGAATTCGTAAAACACGCGACTAGACGCTGCTGGGCCAGGAGTGGAAAACCTATGTTGACATTCAATCAGAACCAATCAACACGCTACTTCGTCATAGGGAAACTCACCAGTAAACACTGACCCACGTGCAGATCTCGTCATCTGTCCACACATATGTGGGGTCTGTCCAATCGTGCAGCTTCTCGTATATCCACGCGAGAAGCGCGACTGGACTGTCGGCTAATGCATATCCCAGAGTCTGGGGCCGAGTCGAGGCAAGCTGATAGTAGCCAGAAGCAGTTGAGAAGTACTTTGCGGTGCGGGCAAGGCCATCGAGCTCAAGAGGGGTGAGGCCAGTGGACTGCAGCTGTTCGTGAAGCTCGGGATGCTGGGCCTTGGTCGGCTCTACTGGTAGAGAATTGTTTGTATAGGCCGCTTTGCAATGTGTGCCACCATACTTGAGGGCAATAAACCGTGCTGTGAGGCAGCCGAGATCTCCGCCCTGGACCACTGGCTGATGTGAGCTGCACGTTAGGCTAGCATTACATTCCTCACCGACTCACCATATTCGTTATATCCAAGTGCCAGCATGAGCTTGTGGGACACTTCGGCGTGCTGATCGATAGCGAACCCGTCCTACAGCATTGTGGTTAAGGCGAAATTGAGTTCTAGTCATTTGAAGAGACTTACCTTCTTACTTGCCGAGGAGAAGCCAAAGTTGACGAGACTTGGTGCAACGACATGAAACTTGGGACCTTCCTCATCATCCAGTAGATGTTGTAACACTTTTTAGACTTCGAAAAAGTCACCTGGCCAGCTGTGAAGGAACAAAAGCGGAATAGCCTGTTCGACGTCGTTTCTGTGATGAACGAAGTGCACATTGTAGTTCCCAAAATCGTCCACCATAATGTTGGTGATGAACTGTGGTAGCTTGTTTAATTCAGCCTCGGCGGTTTTCCACCGAAAGTCTTCAGCCCAGTACGTCGTCAAGCGTCTAATGTCGCCCAACGGAACGCCACGAGCCCAGGGGTTCTTCATATCGTCGACCTCGTCCGGGAACTCTGTCAGCAGGAGTTTCTGTTTCAATCTGTGTATCCTTTCATCGGAAATGGACATCTTGAAAGGTAAAATGCCAGGCATCGCTACAAGGGCTTGTAAGAGAGTATGGAGAGGAAGACAATCGATGAGACAACGAAGATCATAGACGCGATTCAAGCCTTCTTATATCAGTATGGGGATGATTTGAACAGCTGCAGGTAGTCAGCCCAGCAATAGTCGTGCATCCTTCGAATCAAGGTTTACGCACCAGCCAATAAGAAACAAGTCCATGAGCCTAGCCGAGCACCTCCATAGCATCAGGCAACCCAACACTCCTCTGGTACGGTGGGAAGACCATCTTTTGTATATAGTGAAGAGAGCCTGTAGAAATATCGTAGAATCTGGTGCAAATTCCGGTCCAAGGGTTCTCAGTATTGACAGTGCGCTGCGTAGATGTACTTGTACCCTGCTCTAATTCTTGTTACGGCTAGGATATTCATAGTTAGCTCCTTAGCAGGTCTAGGAGTATATAGTTAGCTATTTCTTATTACTTTATAATTAACGTAGTTTCCTTCTATTTATTAGAGCCTATTCACTTTAATAGTTATAAGCCTAAAAGCCTTTAATAATTACTGCGTTTACTATAAATAGACTAGGACCTATCTTTACGGGGACTAGCAAGTTATATTTTATTTATTAAAATCTTATTATTACTAGTTAGTTAGTATAAAGGCTTATCTAGGACTAGATATAGCAAAGGGCTAGCTATCTAGTAGAAAACCTATCTAGACTACGCGTAGTAAGGACCTTAATAGCTAATTAACGCAATATAGTACGCAAAGCGGAGTAGTAATAAGAAAGCTATAAGATAGCAGAATTAGATCTGCTTATTACTAAGGCTACAATTATACTAGATAAACTAGAGCACTAGACGCAGTAGCTGTTCCTACAGAAGGATAGCGCAGACAGGAATCAGCTCTAGAAATACGTAGATCTAGATACTAGTGAGGATCTAGTTACCCAACTAGACGCTAAGAAGCCGATTAAAAAGCAGTATAAAGATTTCTATAACATAGAAAGCAATGCTAAGACAGCTAATGCTAAAATAGATATTATGGATCTAACTGATCAAGAGCTGGCAAGATACGAAGCATGGTACAGGACGTACAGTCGCACTAAGGCACGATGGCTATAGAAAGAGAAGGCGCTTAGGGAGTTCACGCAGGAGATATCCAGGACGATTACAGCTCGACACATCTATCTAATCGCAGACTGTACG